GTAAAAGATTACATTCCAATGCCACACGATATATATGGGGTCAGATTTACCTTTTTTTTAAATGATATATTAATAATAATGGATTTATTTAAAAGAATAAAATTGAGAATAAGTCATGATGGAAGTTAAGAGCATCTAGATTGGTGGTCATATGATTATAAAAAAAGATTAATTGTCATGTCATTGTTATTAATATTATGGAGACCCTTTGCAAAATAAACATTATTTTTATATATTTATGTGATAAATATTTAATAATAGAGATGCATATATGTAAGATGGAAACGACTTTGACATGATAAAATTGCAACCAAATCGAGTGTAGCAAAGAAGCAAAATAAAAGGCATCAACGTCATACATAACATAACGACATGAACCTCATGATGGGTGATAGGGCTAGGTTCAGGTAGAACGATTGGGTTTTTAGAGTCTTTCTTGCACTTAATCGGGTAAGAGCATCTTCAGAGTGGAACCGGAGTCGAGAGGGTTAGGTTTAGGTAAAACGATTGGGTTTTGGAGTCTTACTCACACTTGATCGGGTAAGAGCATCTTCAAAGTGAAACCGTCGATTCATAAAAGGAGATGCCATATGGCATAAAGGAATTGTAATATGAATTTTTTTAAAAAGAGTTTATGTTTTTTATTCAATGTCCTGACTCTTGATCATATAAACAACAAAATCACTAAATTTTGGCTTGGTTTTCAACAACTATTGTGATAGATATGATTGACTTAGTTTTATTCATCTCATTAACATCAATTTTTTCAAAAGAAAAAAAAAAAAAAAAAACAAGTTTGTTTTGCATTGACCACTATAAATACCACTAGTACAGAGCACGTGCGATGCACGAGGTGCACAATTTTAAGTTTATTTATCCAGCCTTATAATTATATAAATGAATAAAAATATATATAGTACGGGACCCTGTGCGAGACAGGGGATATATTTATTTGAGAAATATTATATTATAAGATGCAATATTCAATAAAAGTTTCATAATACACAAGAAAATTATACAATAAAATAGTATTCGACAAAGAAACAATAATATATTATTAAAGACCTCCTTGTACACAGATATTAAATAATTTAATAGTTTGCCCAGATGCAGCTTCAGGCGATTGATGCACTTCCCATAGCAGTTTCGGGGAGTACCAGTGCCAGTGTCAGTGCCATGCAGCTTCAGCCGACGCTGAGAGAGAGAATCCGGCGAGAGCAGGCTTCTGACGAGTTCGTTCGTGTCATGGAGGCCAAGGTAGGGTTTTCAGCTAGGTGCCGATGGTGCCCTAGAGTTCAGAGGCAGAATCGCGGTCCCGAAAGTCGAGGCGTTGCGGAAGGAGATTTTATCAGAGGCTCATACCGCACCCTATCTAGCCCATCCCGGGAGCACGAAGATGTATCACGACCTGAAAGGGTCGTTCTGGTGGCGAGGCATGAAGAAGGACATCGCCGAGTTCGTCAGGAGATGTTTTACCTGTCAGCAAGTTAAAGTCGAACATCAGAGTCCGATTGGCCTCCTGCAGCCACTGCCGATTCCGAGGTGGAAGTGGGAGGAAGTCACGATGGATTTCGTTACGGGTTTGCCGAGGTCGTCTGAACATCACGACGCTATTTGGGTCGTGGTCGACAGATTGACTAAGGTTGCGTATTTCTTACCCGTTTCGATGAAGATGTCTCTGGACAAGTTGGCTGAGATATATACCCGTGAGATCATCCGACTCCACGGGGTGCCCGTCACTATTGTATCAGACAGAGATCCCAGATTCGTCAGCAGATTCTGGCACAGCTTACACGAGGCGATGGGCACGAAGCTAGAGTTCAGTTCAGCCTATCATCCGGAGACAGATGGTCAGTCAGAGCGGACTATTCAGACGTTGGAGGATATGCTTCGCGCTTTAGTTGTTGACAGGGGTGCTAAGTGGGAGTCGTTGTTGCCGTACGCCGAGTTCGCGTATAACAACAGCTATCATTCTTCCATTCAGATGGCTCCTTACGAGGCACTTTACGGTCGCAAGTGTCGTTCCCCTCTCTATTGGGACGACGTCGGAGAGCGACGAGTACTCGGTCCCAAGTTGATCGAGGAGACAGCAGAACAGGTCGAGTTGATCCGGCAGAGACTCAAGACAGCTCAGAGTCGAGAGAAATCTTCCGCCGATCATCATCGATGAGATATTCAATTCGAGGTTGGCGAGCCAGCTTTTCTCAGAGTTCGTCCGATTCGCGGAGTTGTTCGATTCGGAAAGAGAGGAAAGTTGCACCCTCGATTCATCGGTCCGTTCGAGGTTCTCGAACGAGTAGGCGAGGTCGTGTATCGATTAGCCCTATCTCCCGAGTTATCAGGCATTCATAATGTGTTCCACGCATCGATGTTGCGTAAGTACGTGTGCGACCCCGATCATGTCATTCCTCATTCAGATATTCAGGTTCAGCCAGATCTTTCGTACGAGGAGCGACCGGTAGCTGTACTAGACCGTCAGATTCGTCGGCTCCGGAAGCGAGATGTTCCCCTCGTGCGTATTCAGTGGGATCGCCACGGAGCTACTTGGGAGGCGGAGTCCGATATTCGCGCTCGTTTTCCAGATTTTCAGTTTTGATGTACATATTTCTTATCCTATGTACATAATCATGTATATTCAGCCATGTTTTGAATTTCCGAGGACGGAAATTTTGTAAGGAGGGAGGATTGTAATATCCCGTCAGTTTATCATATAAATTATATCTTTTAGTTCCGATATTAATTTTCAAAATTAATTATTTTCAGTCAGTTCAGTCGAAATTACCGAAAATTATTTTCGACGTACCGTTTACGTTTGGAATAATTTTGGTAATTAAGCATTATTTTTAATTTAATAATTAAACATAATTGAGGGATTAATTAATAATTAATCCAAGATTAGTATTATAAGCCGTATGGAAATTTGGGTGTAAGTCATGCAAAATGTCGTGCATTTTAGTGGCTTATGTTAAGTGGGAATTTGATCCAAATTCTTCATTTCTAAGCAACTAAATGTGTCATTATGTGGCTAAAGAAGGGCTTAGTCATCTAAGAGTTATTTAAGGTGATCTAAGTGTTATTAGCCTCTTCTAACACATCATTACTTCATCACCTCCATGTCCCATTCGGTGGCCATATATAAGAATGAGTTGGGTGGAAAATTTTTCCATCTTCTCTATACTTTTAAGTTCAGCCCTTATATTTTAGTTCCGAGTGAGAGAGAGTTAGTAAGGTTGAGAGCTTGAAGGGGAGAATTCCTTCGCACACGCACGTCTGAGCTATCGCAGGCAACACGCGAGGCGCACGACAAGCCGCACCCCACCGCACCGCCGAGAGATTTAGCACGCACGCGAACGCCGCAACTAGCGGAGACCTTCGATCAGCGGAGAGGTAGTTAAACTCTCAACCTATTGTGATTAATAGTATCAAGTTTAACTGTGATTATAACTTGAGTTCAAGACGGTATTTTAGCCGTGTTCATGTTCGTCGTGCGTGAGGTTCGCATAGGGCATGTTATGCTTAAAATTTATATTCTTCCGAACAAAAATCATGAAGTCAGTATTTTCATGTTATGTCCTAGTATTTCAGCTTATGATGTTCGGAAAAATATTCGTGTTATGCGGTGTTCGGCCGAGAGGACGTGGTTGCGCATATAGCGCACCACGGGCCGTGCGTATGTGTTCAATATGTTTAGTTCAAATCATTCAAGTATATC